TGTTTTAGTGTTAAAAAAAAATAAAAAAATTGTGTTTAGTATTTTGTTAGTTTAGTCTGTTAGTGTGAAACATGCAGCGCATGTACAGCTTGGAGGAGGCATATGCCTTCTTGGCGTCAGACTCTGGCGCCACTGACACTGCGTCCGATTTTGACCCAGGTCAGTTTAGCGGCACGTCTAGTGACATGTCATCTGTGTGTGAGCCAGCTGCTAAAAGAAGCTGGTAAGCACCCTGCCTACGCTGAATGTGGAGGAGGACTGGGTACCTCCACAGTTAGCTGAGCCCAACATCCCCCCTTTTAGTGCCAACACAGGCATTAATGTGAATGTGGTTGACTTCTCCCCTATACAATATATGGAGTTATTTTTAGGGGATACCATCTGGGAGGAGATTGCTTCCCAGACTAATTTATACGCTAGCCAATTTATTGAGACCAATGCAGGTAGCTATACAGTCAGGGAGCATGCTTGGCATCCCACAGATGTCGCTGAACTTAAAAAATTCTGGGCTCTTACAATTCTCATGGGGATTATAAAGAAGCCATCAATTTGCTCTTACTGGAGCACCAACCCAATCTGTTCTAGTCGAGTGTACTCTCAAACCATGTCTAGAACAAGATTTGAGCTGCTGCGGAGATACTTACATTTCAACGACAATACGCTCTGTCACCCCAGAGATCACCCCCAATATGATAGGCTTCATAAAATACGCCCACTGGTAGACCATCTTCAGCACAAATTTACTGAAGTTTATACTCCTCAAAAAAAAAGTATCTATTGATGAATCGTTAATGAAATATAAAGGGAGATTAGGATTCAAACAATACATCATCTCAAAGCGCTTTAGGTATGGCGTAAAATTCTACAAACTGTGCGAGAGCGAAAGTGGCTATACATTTGCCTTTCGTATATATGAGGGGAAAGATGGTCAACTGGACCCTCCTGGCTGTACTGACTCTCTGGGGACAAGTGGGAAACTTGTTTTTGACTTACTGATCCCCTTGTTCAATAAGGGTTACCACCTTTATGTGGACAATTTTTATAGCATTGTCTGTTTGTTTCAAACTCTTTAGGGTTTCTAGATACTGGCCTGTGGCAGTGTGAGAAGATATGCCAAGGATTTCCCCAGACCTTTTATAGAGGCCAAATAAAAAAAAAAAAAAAAAGTGAATGTAAAGGTCTGCACAAAGCTAAAGTGCTTGCAATAAAATTTAAGGACAGGAAGGATGTTCACATGCTAACAACCATCCATAATGAGGGCATGTCAGACGTCACTGTCCGAGGCAGGGTACAGACAAAACCGGTGTGCATCAGGGCTTATAACAGGCACATGGGGGGTGTTGATTAAGAAAGACAAAAGCCTGGTATAAAAAGGTGGCTATCTACCTGATGCAAGTAGCAACACATAATTAATTTTTACTCTTTAAAAAAAAAATGAATCCAGAAAGAACCACCTTTCTCCAATTTTAGTTCAAGCTGATTTCCACAATAATTTATGGAGATGGTCAAGTTCCAACAACGGTGCCAAAGGAGTCCAGACATTTTATTTTTAAGATACCGCCAACTGCAAAAAAAAACAAATCCCCTGAAATGTTGCTGGGTCTGTTATAAAAAAGGGAAAAGGACAGACACCCCTTTGCACTGTTTTTTTTTCTTTTGAAAGCAGCAAATTTTAGTTAGTCAGTTTCCTTCCCCCCAAATCTCCAATTAGATTCTTTTTGCAGGAGTTAGTTTAGAGAATGCTGCTAAAGGTGCATTTGATACCTGCACATTTGGTTAAAAAAGTTTTATGGTAGTAACATATAACTGGCTGGCCAAAACCAGATGACGTGTGCATAAAAAGCAGAATTAAAAAATTACCACCATGCACGTTCTCTGAAATTTGTTTAGCACAATGGTTGGGGGAAGGATGTGAAAACACCTCATATACAATACTCTAGAATGTCTACTTTATAAAAATATAAACTTTCATGATGTTAACATTAACGGGGGGATGCAAAAATATGCCAAACTGAAGATAGGCCAAGCATACCTATATATCAAGTTGAAAAACTGATATGTACAAGTCTTGAATGTGGCCTTTTAGCCCCCAAACAACCCAGCAAACCTATGCATGGGTGATGTCACTGTACTCAGGAGATGTTGCTGAACACATATTGGGGTGTTGTTTGGCAGTGATACATAACAGGATCTGTTAGTTCATGCCTAAAGTACAATGTATGTGTAAAAAAACATGAAGAAAATTACTACCCAAAAGTTTGCCAAAGGCTGGTGGTAGAATTAATGCATGAAAAGTATTAAACTACCACCATTTAAAATACCCTGAGTTGTCTACTTTTCAAAAATATATGGTTTGATGGGGGTAAAATACATTGGCCCAAATAGGACAGGGGCGCTGGTTTACTACATGTCAAAATTCCAAGTTGAAAAATGGATATGCGCACCTGCCAAATGTGGCCTTTTAGCCCCAAACAATCCGACAAGCCTATGCATGGGTGGTATCACTGTACTCAGGAGATGTTGCTGAACACATATTGGCGTGTTGTTTGGCAGTGACACATAACACGATTTGTTAATTCATGCCTAAAGTAC